GAGACATGAAGAAGAGGGGACACATGTTGATGTAGAAGAGACATGAAGAAGAGGGGACACATGTTGATGTAGAAGAGACATGAAGAAGAGGGGACACATGTTGATGTAGAAGAGACACGAAGAAGAGGGGACACATGTTGATGTAGAAGAGACATGAACAAGTGGATTTTGCATAAAAGTCTTCATGCTTACGTTGTTGTTGGGGGAGGCAGAGGGGCTGCCTATGATGGCCCCGGCCCCCACCTCTGCTGGGCTTTGGACCCCGGCTGCGAACATGGCCGCGGGGACGAACTCTGCGCCTGGCAGCCCGTTCTGAGGAGGGGGGGGAGGGGGGAACGCTGCGAAGGGAGGGGCCACCAATCCCTCCTGTCCTCCTGTCGAATCCTGAGCGCCCTGAAGGAGAGAGGGGGGGACAAGTTAACACATGTGAGCAGGGCCTGTAGGTAAGGTGCGTTTACCCCTCTGGCTTTGATTTCTACTGAGATGTGTGTGATGTTGTTCTGTTCTGTTTGTTCCTCTCAGGACTCCACGTGGTCTGTGTTTTGTTTTTATGTTGACCTTACATTTCCGCCTCATGTTTCTGTGCTCTTAAGTTTTAACTTTTGTACTTTCTTGTGAAGCACTTTGTGAAATCTATTTCTGTGAAAGGTGCTATGATAAATAAACGTATTATTATTTATATAGCACATTGTCAGACACAGAGGCAATTCAAAGTGCTTTAAATAACTTGTGTGTTAATAACTTCCTATTTATTTATTTTTTGTTTCGAATAAAAAATGTATTTCTTTAAGAAAATAAAAAAATAGATATACCGTATATGTTAATAATTTTGTTTTTGTAGTGTCGTGTTTTTAGCCTCGATTTAAAATAGCTGGTGAAGAGCGTCCTGGAGGGGGAGAGAGGAGGGGGTTTAAACCCTGCCTCTGCCTCTCCCCCCCCCTCCCTCTCCATATCTCTCAGAGTTTTCAGTCAGCCGAGCATGAAATATTTACAGAAAACACATCTATTATGAAGACGGAGAAAATTCGATACACGCTTTGAGATACAAAGACGCTTACATGGTTCGAACGGGAGATAAAAACACTAACTGTGCCTCCTCACCCGCGACATGTTTACCACTGCTGCATTGTGGGAAACATGTTCTTGTTTATTTGTAGAATTTCTGTTAGACTTCATCTATAATTCAGATTCCCTGCGTTCAGCCCTCGGGATCTGTCTCTGTCTGCACCGTTACAACTGTATCAGCAGCAGGATCATCAGCAGAGGCTGCCCTGATCTTGCAAGTGTGTGTGTGTGTGTGTGTGTGTGTGTGTGTGTGTGTGTGTGTCTGCAATGTTGCTCACTTCAATCACTGCACACACTCAAGGGCATCTTGGACCTAACCAAGTCTGTTTGCAGCAAAGTGTTAGATAGGAACATGTTCATTCTTGTATTGATGTGTTTTATGTATATTTGATCTGTTATTTTCTGCACAATAATCAATAATTTATATTGTTATTGATTTTAAGAAAGGGGTTAAGAAATGGGACGGGGGAGGGGGGGTGGGTTGTTTATGTTGAATTTGTTCAAAAATACTTTTTTTCACTTGTAAAGAAAGTATTTTTCTTTTCTCCCCCAACAATTTATTCCAAATGTATATGTTCGAAGAATTTAATTATATCTCAATATAGTGTATGTGTTTATTTTATTTCTAGTCTTATCATTTTTATTGTAAAATGCCATGTCTTTTTACGCTGCTGCACCACAAAAATGTCATAAATTGGAATCAATAAAGTACTTATTTTCTTATCTTGGTATAAAGAAAGGCAAGTTTATTTATATAGCTCCTTTCAACACAAGGCAATTCAAAGTGCTTTACAAAAATGACATTAAGAAGAGCATTGTTATGTCAATACTAATGTCGTTATAGTCATGCCAATGTAGCTTTGTGAATTGAACTTAAATTGAAACGAACAGGAGAAAGACGAAGGAAGGTTTAAAAGAACAAACAGCGAGGTCAAGACACACATCTTCTCCCATCAGAGCGGGTTGAATATGGGCCGGGTGAAGCCGGGAGACAGGCGGTCTCCAGACGGCCTTTTTAATTAGACAGAATAAGTGCGATGCAGCAAAGCAAACCCTCCTCTTCCTCTAATCCTACAGCCCGACTGCTCACTCTCCTCCTGCAGAAAAACCGCCAGCTGAGGCTAAAAATCCCATCTGCAACACAGACAGCTTGTAGGGTCTGCGCCCAAAAGATAAAGCAGGAAAGAAATCTGGTAAACTCGTCCGCTGACACTTTTTATTGCGGCGAGGACGAATGTACGTTATGGAGGAATGTGTGAAAGCGGAGCATCTGCTACGGTTTCTGACAGAACGCATCAAAAGGCTTCTCAAAAGGAGATGGTAACACGTTGAAATTCATTTGTGAGGCATTAGCCAACAGGGCAAAGAGTATATATAAGTGTTCTTGTTAGGACATGTGGGCTTTAAGCGTGCACTAGCCTGTACTCAAAGGGTGTGTCCCTTATGCAAAGTATAGCCTGGGGGTTATTCACGTACACACACATTCATACCCAACATGCTGGGTAAAGGCAGAGTTGGGAAGTAGTGGAGTACAAATACTTTGTTACTGTACTTAAGTACATGTTTCTGGTATCAGTACTTTACTCCACTACTTATTTTTCTGACGACTTTTTACTTTGACTTCTTACATGTTGAACACAAATACCTGTACTTTCTACTTCTTACATGTTGAACACAAATACCTGTACTTTCTACTTCTTACATGTTGAACACAAATACCTGTACTTTCTACTTCTTACATGTTGAACACAAATACCTGAACTTTCTACTTCTTACATGTTGAACTCAAATACCTGTACTTTCTACTTCTTACATGTTGAACACAAATACCTGTACTTTCTACTTCTTA